TAAATAAATAAATAAATAAATAAATAAAACAAAAACTATCTCTCTTCTACTTCCGCTCCTGTCCTCATTCTACTGAAAATGCTATGGCCCAAACCACCAATGACATTCTGATTATCAATAAAGTGACATATGTTCAGCTTGCACCAAATCTTATTTCCTTATAGCATCAGGTATCATTGCCCAATGTCTCTTCGAAACTCTAGCCTCTTTTTAATTCCTTAGCAACATTTGTATTTCTCTACCTTCTCTCTGACTCGTCCTTCTTTGCTTTTTCTCATAAGTGCTAATGTTCTCCAGAATTTTCTTTTTTTTTTAAGATCATTTATTTATTTATTTACGAGAGAGAGCAGAACAAACGAGAGAGAACACGAGTTGGGGAGAGGGGCAGAGGGAAAGGGAGAAGCAGGCTCCCCACTGAGCAGGGAGCCCGATGTAGGGCTTTATCCCAGGACCCCGGGATCATGACCTGAGCCGAAGACAGACGCTTAACCAACTGAGCCATCCAGGTGCCCCTCGGGTCTCAGTCTTTAATAGAAACAAATCTTATAATACATATTACACATAAGAATAAATGTCTCCTTTCTGTACTTCTGCTCCACTCCGTGCATACTTTTGGAATTATTTGTCACATAATGTTAAAATATTGGGTATATATGTGCATTTTTCCTAGGCCATAAGCTCCTAGAAGGCATATTTTTTGTCACTAATTGTATCCTCAGTGTCTAGAATAGTACCTGTCACACATTATACAAGATTTGTTGGAGAGATGAATTTCCACTATCCTAACATTGATTAGATATACCCGAGCATCCACCTTTCTCCACTCCAAAGTTCACTGGGAGGGGACATGTGAATAAAGTCCAAGATCTGACCTATGGTGTTAGAAAAGTATTGGAAAAGGAGAGCTTAGATGTTTATGTTCTTCATCTCTACCCCAGATACATGATTTCTATGTATACAGCATCAGAACATTTTATGTTTTACCCATTAGATGTTTTCTCCCCACAGTTAATACAAATGCTATTTTTATTTCACCCACTTTGTCTTCTGTCCTCCATCTCAACCCCTTTACTGTGATTTTTGCCATCATTTGGTTCTCTTGAGGGGGCAGAAACTCTGGGCTTTCTCCTGCAGGCTGTTGCTGCAGATAAAATGTAGTAGAGGGATCCAATGGTGACTGAATCCTCTCTAACCACAGATGTGTATTACAATGGTGTGATTCCTTTCTACCTCTCTAACTGCAAGAGCAAGTTAAAGAGAGAGGTCTTGGGAAAGCAGAACTTTTTAGTCTCTATTGACTTAGAAACTGACAAAATTAGAAAATATCTTTGTTTTTTTTTAAAAAAAAAAAAGGGGGGGTGCCTGAGTGGCTCAGTTGGTTAAGTGGCCAACTCTTGACTTTGGCTCAGGTCATGATCTTGGGGTCCTGAGGTCCAGCCCCACATTAGGCTCCATGCTCAGTGGGGAGTCTGCTTCAGGATTTTCTCTCTCTCTCTCTCTCCCTCTCCCTCTGCCCCTCCTTCACCCCCACTCACTCACTCTCTCTCTCCGTCTCTGTCTCAAATAAATAAATATTTTTTAAAAGGCAAAGAAAGACCTAAATTGTGAGAAACAAAGCATTTTGAACTATTATTAAAAAGAAAA